AAATGCAACAGATTTCCTAATGTCAAGGGCATGAAGAAACCGCTCAAGGAGAGCTGTAGAGTATTAAAAATCTGTGGGAAGAATCAGTTCTTGATGTAGATGAAACTCTGACACTGTTTTATGCAAAAAGGAAACAACTGGTCATCTTGTCCATATGAAAAAAAAGTCAAATAAGAGTTGTTTGAACAGAAGGAACAAGGTTCATTGGTACTGTATGTCATTCCAACATGGAGGGAAGGTAAAGTACAATCAGGCTTGCATGTTTCTGTTATTTTATATCAATAAAGTATCATTCTTGTCTTCCTGTGGAATCCGTTTCCTGATCTGATCTACCTCGTAGGGTTGACATCAATCTTGCAGGTCTGATTGTGCTTTACTTCAGGAGCCTGCCTGAGTATCTTCCAAATATAATCTTGTTTCCCAGGGATTTAGGGACCGTTTCAGCCCTATTTACTTACATAATGGTTCTTGTCTATTTCTTTCAAGGTGGTCTCACTGACTCTCTTACAGAAAAATACTTATTCTAGAAGCTTGGTCAAATAGCTCTCCCTCTGAAATAGATTCAATACGGTGGATATTTGGGTAGCTGAATTTACAGCTGGCTTGTCTCACCAAATCATTAGGATAGTACAGAATAAGAGGGATGGAGGGATGAATTGAGGGAGGAGCAGTATCGCTTGGTACCAATACAATAGAGCTGATGAGGAGTTTGTTCTAAGGTAAAAATCCGACAATGCAGACAAGACTCCAATACATGGACTTTATCAAGGCAGAGAAGGCAAATGGAATGCTTCTGAGATGGATGGGACCTTATCACCACAGTTCTGCTGCTTCTTTTCTCTATGAAAGAATAGCCCAAATGATGTCACCCAAGTAGCCAACTGGTAACTTCTGAATAAAGAGCAATGCTTTAAGAACAATTTCAGTGCTGGGGAAGAACAATCAGTGATGCTACCACTGTGATGGTCAAAAGAATACTCTGCCCTAAAGTAATCAATAGTTACTCATGTTGCACATGGCATTGCTGTTAACAATACAAAAAGAAACTGACAGAAAATTCAGTTTAAGGAGACACCCGCATTTTCAGAAATGATATGTAAATTAATAAATTACAGGTTCTAATTTTTTGCAGTATTAAATACTTCAATTGTAGCATCATTGCATCAACTTTGCATTGTATAGGGAGGAGAGATTTAACTTCCCTGCCATAATCTTAATTGATGTTCCTCACATTGCTAGTAATTACTGGAAAAAAAACGTTTATTTGCACTTAAACTTCCCCTCTGTTCTATTAAATTTTTAAAAACTTCATACAACATTGCAGGTAGTACATTTCATATATGTATTAGGCTCTTATTATAGGATAATTTGTTAAAGGAGTATATCTCGTTACCTACTGCCATCTACTGGGCACATGAAGAACAGTTTTACATTCCATTCTTCTGCTGACGAGTAATGAACTAAAGAGTGGATACTTAAGACAGCCTAATGACTGGAAAACCATTTTCAGCATCATTCAAAACTAATAGAGTATCAGAGTTATTAGAAATAATTAATGCTATTACACTGACAACTCATAGCTTAAAACGAAACACAGCCATCTCTCCATCCACAACCGATAGCTAGCTTTGTCTCTCCCCTATGCCAGATACACAAATATGCTTTCTTTCAAAAATAGTCATAAGTAGGGAATTCATTCTTCGCTGTGGCCAGAATAATGAAAAATGATAAATCTATCCAAACTGAAACATTTTTATTTATTTTATTATTTATTTTACTTATTTCTATCCTGTCTCAATCAAAAAGACACTTGGCATCTTACACAAGCCAATTAAAACATCCACAATACAAACTTCACAGTAAGAACAATAAAACAGTACCCACCAAACAAAAGAATGAAAACAACAAAAGTAGTAGTTAAAAACAGCGTGATAAAATCAAGGGAAGGGTCTCCAAAACAACTTTGTCTTTAGTAGCTTCCTAACCAGAAAGGGGTTAACCTGCTCTCTACTGGGAGGCTGTTCCACAGTGTTGGTCCTATCACAGAAAAGCAGAGCCTTCCCACTCCATCCCCCCAAACCTCCCCAAAATGTGTGATGAATAACAATTTCTCCCTTTTTAATTTGATCAGTCAGGCCAGTACTGGCTGGAGTAGATATCTGGGCACCAAGCCATAAAGGGCTTTATAGGTTAAAACTAGTACCTTAAATTGTACCAGGAAAACTACAGTATTGGCAAAACTGGTCTTATCTGCATTGGGAGCCAGGAAGTATGCAGGCTGCTGCATTTTGGACCAACTGCAGTTTCTGAGTAGTCTTTAAGGCCCAAGTAGAATGCATTATAGTAGTCCAACCCAATTGGGTGGCGATGATGGCATAAGCTATATCCAGGCCCTCCTGCTCCAGGTAGGGTCACAAATGGCACACTAGCTGGAGCCATGAGTCCAGAAGGACCCCAAGTCATGAACTTGCTCCCTGATAGATTGTGCTTGCTCATCAAGGAACAACTCTGATCGGTTATATAAGAGAATGACCAATGCTGCCTCCATACCAAACCTGGACCAGTACCATGAATGAAAAGGTCCAGATGATCTACTTCATCAAGGATGCTGCAAACTTGTTCTGCTACCATCAGCTCAATAACCTCCCCAACAAAATCTCATCAATAGTCTATATTAATTAGAGACAATAATCTTATCATTGAAAATTATCAACATGTGTAGCCACGATTGGAAGTTTTAATCAATGACATCTGAAAGGGAGACTCACTTCATCTGCCTTTTGATGAAGCAATACCAAGTAACTTTTTTTTTTTGCTAAACATATTAGTTGTAAAGGTCTAGATTACAGCTAGACTAAATCTGTAAAATCTCTGTTCTCAGTTTTTAAAAATCATAAAGTCTGTTGGGTTCATTCTGCCCTATGAATCATAAATTGCCCATCAAACTAATACCTAGAAAGCTAATGACATATTAGTGTTCAGAATAAGAGCATTACAGTATTGGAAACTAAGCTTCCCCCACTCCCCGCAACTAAAGAACATGAGAAAATGTAAAGATCTGAAAGTTAAGCAATACCTGACACTTCAAGAAAACAAAATATAATCAAACCTGATTAACTACTACTATGTAATACCACTGAACCCTGGCACATTGCCTTCAATCTGGCATGACATAAATTTTTGGCTGTATTTCACATGCCTGCTTGCCAATACTGATTTAAAGGGAAATCACACAAGGCACACCCATCTCTGAACCATTTTTATCCTCCCTAATGAAATGTAAGAAAGCAGGGTTTCAATTAAACCTTGGTACTTTTCTTGAATTTCAAGTTTAAAAAAGGAAAAAAAGACAGAACAAGTTAACAATGTTATCATCTCAGTAATAAGAGCAAGCACATTCTTCAAACATCACTGGACTCATGCAATTAATATTAGGAGCTAAATATCAGAAAACATTAAGAACAATCTGCTATCATATATTTGATACTGAAACAAATAATCCCTTCATTAGACTGACAAAAAATAAATGAAGATAGCTCGCCTTGTTTGAGAGAAAATTATATTCAAGAGAAATCTGAACAAAATTATTAAGTGTCTCTCACTAAAGGACTTGAAAAACACATGGAAGATTTAAGTAAGAGCTGAAACACACTCCTCATGCATCGAGATGTATCTTACAAAATCCTCAACAGTTGAACTTGTTCAAAGAACTCGGTTGTGTAGACAGCCTTTCAAAAAAAAAATGCAGAATATTTTTATAACAATGCAAGTAACTATTTTTTCAAGAAAAATAGTATTTATTTGCCTTTCAACTAGCCTGGACTGCTTAGGTAGTCAATCAATTAGATTCAGTTCTACATATATAACAGCTACAATTTTAATTTTGGATGTTGGTGTTCTACAATCCAGTTCTTATTATGCTACAGTTAAGATATTAAAATTATTTCTAATCACATGTTTAAGTTATATTAGTACTAGAATAGTGTATTCCAACATATCTATATTAAATCTGCTTGAGGTTTTGAAAAACAGATCCCCTCTCAATTCTTCTAACAGATTTGCAATTCCTTTGAGCCAAAAAGGGCAACAAAAATGCTACTGAGAAAGAAATTGTAAACTTGGTAACATAAAAAGAAATTGTAAACTTAGTTACTTAAAAGATATTTTTGCTTTTATACAGCTTTTTTATTGTGAGCTGCCCAGAGTCACTTAGATGAGATGGACCCCATACAAATAAAATGATGATGATGATGATGATAATAATAATAATAATAATAATAATAATAATAATTATTATTATTATTATTATTATTATTATTATTAT